AGCCTATAGACCAGTGGCATTGCCAATTTTCTTTTGTATTTTATTTCTTGTACATGAAATGTGTATATTCTTTTGAAGCCCATCTTTTTGGTTTAGTTTTACTTGGTTTTCTCTTTCCTATTATTCCCACATAATTAAAGCGGAAGTTTGCTCCAGTTTACTAACTCATCTTTAGCAGATGCTGAGTTATATTTTTTAAAAGTATATGACCATGTTACATCTTTGCTTGGAGTATGTTTGTGGCTTTCTTTGAGAATCACATTGATAACTTTTAATATGGGACACAAATCCATCCAAGATCTGACCCTGATAAAGCTCACACCTCATCTCATACCATTCCTTTGCATACATGCTCTCTATTAGCCACACTGAATTTCTTCCTAGTTCCCAAATACACATTATGTCAAGAACATGAGCCTTGGCACATGTTGACAGTTCTGCCTAAAATGACCTTCTTTTATTTTCTTGGCTAACTTCTACTTAATCTTCTCTGCATTCCTCTAACTCCCCCAAGTAAAGTTTATATGTCACTGACCCTAGGTACCTTACTTAAGATTGTTATTACATATTATTATTTATAAATTTATAAATTTTGTTATCTAGATACTACACTACTAATACAATTTTTCATGGTGTTGGGAATGTTCCATAACTGTACTGTTCAATAGAATTTTGTAGAATGATGTAAATGCCTTATATCTGTACTGTCCAATATGGTTACCACTAGTCATATATGGCTATTGAATACCTGAAATAGGTTTCGCATTATTGAGGAACTGAAATTTTTATTTGATTTGATTTTAACTAATTTAATTTAAATAGTGACAAGTGGCTAGTGGGTACCATACTAGAAAATGCAGTTCAAGATTTTGTTTTAAAAACAGAGAAGACACTATGGTATTTGGTTTTTGACCTTTAGCTTTTGGATGATTTTACATTGGTGAGTGTTTATTGTGCTGATCTGTGTGTAATCATCAGGGAAATGCAAATCAAAACCACAATGAGATATCACTTATCTTCAGTGAGAATGGCCTTTATCAAAAGGTCCCAAAACAATGCTGGTGTGGATACGGAGATATAGGAACACCCATACACTGCTGGTGGGACTGCAAACTAGTACAAGCTCTGTGGAAAGCAATATGGAGATACCTCAAAGAGCTACAAGTAGAACTACCATTTGACCCAGCAATTCCATTACTGGGCATCTACCCAAAGGAACAAAAGACATTCTATAAAAAAGACAACACTAGAATTTTTATAGTAGCACAATTCACAGTTGCAAAGATGTGGAAACAACCCAAGTGCCCATCAATCCATGAATGGATTAATAAAATGTGGTATATGTATACCATGGGGTTCTACTCAGCCTCAAAAATCAATGGTGATCTAGCACCTCTTGTATTATCCTGGATAGAGCTGGAGCCCATTCTACTAAGTGAAGTATCACAAGAATGGAAAAACAAGCACCACATGTACTCGGCATCAAATTGGTATTAACTGATCAACACTTAACTGCACATATAGTATTCACATCCATAAGGTGTTGGACAGGGAGGAAGGGGCCGGAAAAGTTGGGCAATATTCACACCTAATAGGTGTGGTGTTCACCGTCGGGGGAATTGACAAGCTTGAAGCTCTGACTTTGGTGGGGCCAAGGCAATATATGTAACCTAAACATTTGTATCCCTGTAATATGCTGAAAAAAAAAAAAAAAACCCTAGAGAAGACGTTTGACTGCCTTCTTGGCATATGTGTATGCCAAGTATATACTCAGTATTCAGTGATCGTTTAATAAAGGAACGGATATATGCTAGAAGATTGAATTTGGTGTTTCCTGCAGAAGTCTGAACAAATCAGGGACATAGCTACTTTGGCAGAGAAATAAGCTCTTACTCTTTTCAGTTTGATCTAAACTATGTCGCTGATTCAGTTTTTCCAGGGTCTGAGCAAAACAAACAAACAAAAAAGTAGAAGAATGAAATTGACAGCTTAGAAAATCCACAGAAATGTGTTCTGACAACTGAGAAATCATTCATGTTGTTTTTTTCTATTATGGTTTAGAAAAGGTCAGTACCAAATAGAAGTGTAAACTGATGTTGTGAAGTTTTCCTTATTTAGAAACACGATTCCTAGTTGAAAAAGGACTGTTTTATATCTTCCCACATAACATGCAATTTCTAGTTGATGTTCAGTAAAGAAATTGAATCCCAATTGGACTGGAGCACAAATAACAACAACAATAATAATAACACTAAAATCTATTCATCACGTGTCCAGGAAGCAAATGAAGAGCAGTTTTCTCAGGAAAAACAGTTACAACATTAAATTGGCTCTTCATCAAGTCCATAGACTGACTCTACACATTATGAACTTTTAATCCTGTGAGTGTAGCAGAACAGTATGGGATGCCCAGGTGGGAATGGTTGCGGAGCAAATGCTATTGCGTGCACAACGACTGCTCTCTGTAATATTGTATCCTGCAAGAGTTTTACAAGTTTCAGCCCAACCATGACCGAGGCCCTGGCTCGATTATCATTCCACCTAGACAGCATTCTTGATGTGTCACATTTCCTTTATTAAAATGTCTAAGGTTTTAAAGAAGGCAGAGCTGCTAGAGAAACCAGTAAAAATATTTCTAGTACTATGAGTTCATTTTGGAAATCTTGTAAGTCCTTTGATACTTTTAAGTTTTTTGCTGCATAGTCCAGGGTATGTATTTAGAACGAGTTCAGTTATGCTGCCATAACAAATAACCCCACATCTCAAGGCGGAATCCAGCAAAGTTGACTTCTTGCTCACTCTTACTTCCGATAGGTTGTAGGTCTGCAGGGGGCCCTGCTCATCGCGTCACTCATGCCCAGGCAGCCCAGGCTACACTTGACCA